ACAAAGATGGTACGGTTAGATTAAAAGTAAAAAAAGCATAACATTTTTTATCAAGTTCAAGTTAGTAGCCACAAGCACACATTGTAGAAAATCTGACATTTTAGCTATAATGTATGGTCAGAATCAACATTTATGTTAACAGGTATGTTAATTATTAATGTTTATTATTTGTTAATAAAAAATGTAATGGGTATCGGCATTAGGTTTCCTAAAAAACACTGTTTGCTTTGCTGTTGCAGGTTAGTCACATATAAACATAATTTCTAGGAAACAGGGTTGTCTATTGTCATCCATTTGTTTTTGCTTGCTAGAAAGACTGAAGAGGTTCAATGGAATGTACTAAAACCTTACCAACCAGCCTTTTGACAGTGTATTTGTGTGTATACATTGTGGGTGTGTGCGCTATGAACACATGTGCTACACATATGTCTGATATCTCGCTTGTAGTGAAATAGTCTGTCTAGCTAACAAGATATTAGTTGTTTTTCTAGGTCTCATCAAACCGAATTCAGTTTGACAATGAAGTTAAAAACGGAAAAAAACCTTCACTGAAAAACGAAATTCCCAGAAACTTGACTGCATTTTTTCCACAGCTGTGCATCAGTATTCACAGTAAAACTTTATGGATATATATGAATCTAAACATGGAGCAGTGATGTTTTAACATTCTCGTATGGTGCCGTCAAGCAGGGTGATCCATGGTTTACTGAAACTGCAGATGGCAACCAATTTGATCAAAAACCGTCGACCTTGGAGAATCCATCTCCATCATTGTTTATGTGTCTCTCTTTCAACTCTTTGCCATGCTGTTACTTCAGTTTGCCTCCCTCGACTTCTTTTAGCTTTTTCCATCCTCCCTTCTATCCTGTTCCTGCTTCTTTCAGTATTTAAACCTCACGCTCTTAGCAGGAGAGCCACATACACACACAGACACTGTTTGACGGAAAGCCATCGAGCCTCCGAAGGTCACAAACCGAAAGTTTGTGTTTTGAGAGCTATTATTAACGGAACAATACAGAGTGCATTCCTGGACAGAAGAAAAACTCAGGAAAAGATTTAAATGTTAAGTAAAACAACAAATAACAAGTCATGTCACCATTACTATTTATTCCCCTACTGCTTTCCCAGTTATGCAGGAGATAAATAAATCACCCTCAATGCAACTTATTTTACAGATACAGTCAATAAAAAGAGGCTGATTTAACTCAATCACTGTTATGTGTTACTGATCATACTGATCTTTGGAAGCCTACACAATCTCTCACTCAGTCATTCAGTCTCACTGTGATAAAGTGACAGACTTACAACCGTGTAATTCAATTTACACACTACATTGCCAGACACTTGCTGCTGTAGTCGAATATAGATCAGCCCTATATGCTGAGATGTAGGAGTGAAACTCACACAAATCATGAACAATTTGTCTGTGCACTCTGAATATACAATGGTAATCCGGAGACTACGTGAAGCAGATGGAAACTATTAAAACTGTGAAGCACTTTTGTAATCTTTGTAGGTTTAAAAAAAGATCAATAAAAGAATAAAAAGGGATTATTCCTGGATGAAATGAGCTGATAAAAACAGCCTTTGATGTATTTGAGATCCAAAACCTGCGTCAAAAACCTACATCAAAAAATCTGAAATGAAAATGAGTCACAGAAAATCAAAGACATCTTAAATGTGCTGCTCCTCAAAGTGAATTTTTTGTTTGTTTTTAGTAATGCACGGATCTCCTGTGTGCTCACTTGAACTTTGAAACCTGTCCTTACACTGATTAGAACTGGCTGATCTGAGCTGGAATAAATGGAACAACAACAAACATGTTCATGTTGTTTTGGCACCTGTTACCTGTAATTTCAGTGCTGCTTGCTTTACTGTAATATGTTTCCACTGTAGAAATAAAGAAAGCCTCACAGACAGCTAAATTAATGTTGGTGCGTGATGATTACTCCAGTAACCATGGCATTTGCATTCATGCATATACCTGGCTTTACTTCTCAGTTAATAAATCGCTGCTCTGTTCCAGGTTTTTTTTTTTTTACTGGATGGAGAGGTGGGTCAGTGCCAGGATAATTTGGCCCTCTTTACATCTGCCATGTCATCCTAAAAATAATTGTAGCCGGGACAAATTCAGCTCCATGTCAGTTTAAATTTTTCAAGAAGCAACTTTATTTTACAGCTTTTCCTTTTCTTGTCCTTCACACATCTGCTGACCATCTCTTCTCTCTATCACCCCTTTATTTGGAAAAGAAATAACAACCTGTCTCCTTTTAAAGTACACACATGCAGACACCACATGCATTGTTAACATTTCTCTGTATCTTCTCACTGTTATCATTCCTTAAGCTATGTGACCCAGTGGCAAACCCAATCAAAATGTGCAGGCAGAAAGGAAAAATGAAAAGAGAAGCAAGTGACGCCTATAAAAACTAACAGAAACAAGGGACTAGATTGGTTCTTTCCATTACGCATGTAAACCCATTAAATCCCAGATGTTGACCAAGGCTTGACACTCTTTGGATATACAGTATGTCTAACTCATAGTGCCAATGAATGCCAAGCAACAAATAGAAAGAAGCCTTGAAAGTCTGATCTTATTTTTTATTATAAATGCAGTCTGGAGAAGGCGTAGGGATTACTGTCAATCTTCTGTACCCCAAAGCATCCCAGTAAAGCAGAAGCTGGAGCCAGCTGTCCCCAGCGTGGCTGCCTGGTCACACAGCCTTAATAATATAATACTGCCACTTAATGAAACAAGCCGTTCCATGTGTTTCCAATAGGGCATGAATCAACCCTTCAAGGGCTGATGTCCACCACAAAAGAGCGATGCAGAACAGATAATCCTTTAACTGGTCTCCAAAACAAGCGCTCCCTTACATGTGATTTGTTCAGTTACACCGGCACTTGGCAGATCTTTTGGTGTCTTAATGAAGTAATTGGAAACAAAAGTCTATGACAGTTACAAAGCTAGCTCTGGTCGTCACTGCAGTTGAAAAACATTAACAATGAAAAGATTACGGAAGAATATTTTGACACCTTGAGAAATACACTTATTCCCTTTCTTGTCAAGACTTGATCGAGGACAAGATCAAGATTTACCATTAGCTAAAAAAATCCACCTACCAGCACCTTTAAAGCACACTAAACAATATATTATATCACATTTATTTAATCTGTACCAACAAAAACAAACTGTGGTATAATCTGGGTTTTATGCTGGGCTATTTCTTGGCTAGGTACAGTGACTTCCTGAAGAGCAGCAGATTCATTTTGTACCTTTGGACAGAGACAGTCTAGCTGTTTCCCCCAGTTTTCATAAAATGTTAAACTAACCACCTAAAGTTGTAGTGATATCAATCCTCTCACCTAACGCCTACTGAGAAAGCAATTAAGCATATTTCCCAAACTGTCAAACTATTCCTTTGAGAGAAGATGTGACAGTCATAATAATGGCTGGCCGGTTTTGGTTATGTGAAGAGTCTTACAAAGAGCCGCGCTCACATCAGCCTCTTTCACTCTATAACAAGCCTTAGATGAAGCACAGAAATGTTGAATCTATTAGTCGCCTCATCCAAGTTTTAATGCAGCTTTAGGGAGACAAACTATATAAGCAGATGCAGAGTGTGGAAGTATTGTTCCACTAAACCACGAGCCAGGACTTCACAATACAAACTGCACTTGCCCTAATCTGTTTAAAACTAATTATTGTAAAAATCAATCAGTAAGAAACCTTTTGTGATGTTTTATTAATATGCCGAGGCAGGCTGTGCTGTGTAATTGAAATAGCTTAAAGGTATGAATCAAATGAGTGCTACTGTTCCCTGCAAAAACAATCTTAGTTTCAGTGCTGGTTGTATATCTTCCACATCGTTGTCAGCAATACTTGTTGACCTTCTTCAGTGTAAAAATCATCCATCAGAATATGAACTCCCACTTTGATAGATATATCATCCATTGATGACCTTCAGCCAAGTGCTAAGACCTGCTTCACGCATCATAAAAAACTGTTTGATCATGGGTATCTCTTTCACAGGAACCCTCACACTGACCTTGAGTTACTATAAGCCCTGTGGTATTACAGCATGTGTTCTCTTCCAGTCGACCAAAAGCAAACATCTTCAGTCTGTCATCATTTGGACTCAAATTAGAGGACATGCACAGTTAGCCTCAAATGAGGGGAGGGCTGATAGAAAGATGAAAAGTCATCGACGGAGGACAGAATGTGAAATCCAGACACACGTATGGGCAGACACAACAAAACATACAGAAAGAAAAGGACGTGTTTTATTACTTCAGTCGACTCTGATTTCATGTATAGCAAAATCAGTTAATTTTACCTGTGTGTGTGCTGTATACTGTAAATCTGCTCCTTCTTTCATGATCTCAAATCCAAAAGGACAAGTATAGGAGCCCTGAACATCTCTCAGTATTTAAGTAAAAACACACACATGCCTACAAGTGCTGCCAAAGACCCAGACAATTCAAACCACATGAGAACCAACACACACACACACACACACACACACACACACACACACACGCACACACACATACACACACAGTAACGCAACTGCTTGTGATAAATCAGCTCCACTGTACAACAGAATTCCACCAAATATTGAGGAGTGGGCCTTGGGGAAGAGGGGGTGGTCCGCATGTGTGATGCTCTTGCTGTGATTTCAGTTATTCCTCTGTTCTTCAGGGAATGGGAGATCAGGCAGAACTAATGGTGTTGTGGTGCGTTAGAGCTAAGATTAACTCCTGCAACAACAGTGAACATCTGCCTGTATGCGGCATGTCTGGGGTTGAAAGGGGAAGCATAGACTTTAAATCTGATGCAGAGATGGGTTGTTTGGGAATGTCTGAAAGGGAGTGTATGGATCCGGCGTTGTCATGGAGACAAATGGCTTCCCGTTCATGTTCACACGCTAAATCATTGTAAAGTGAAGTGGCTTGGTTTCGGATTTATAACTACACATATGTGTGTGCTCATGGCTTACTTCTGCAGGGTGAGGCTGAGGTTTCCAGTGCAGCTCTTGATCTTGTTCTGGGCCTCCAGGTGGTTCATGCCATCTGTGGAGATGCCGTCAATAGACAGAACCATGTCTCCAACGGCAATACCACCTTTAGCGGCCTTCCCACCATCTGTCAGCTGCGGAAACACAAAAAACCACAAACAGCTTAAATGATCTACGTAACCAGCAGCATTACAGTCAGGATTATTGAGCAGGAGGGTGGGTCAAGGTGATGTCGGAAGTACACATTAACTCTGTATTTATCACAGGATTTATGGATCCATTCCATTACAGAAGCATTTGGACAAAGCTAATGACAGACCTGGTCCTCCACCACATGATGGAGGGTCTACTGTATGTTCACTGATGCGTGTCGAATAGCAGGAGCCTTCATCTTTGAGTTACCTTTGTTTCTTCTTTATGACATGCTATCGTACTGGGCTTACAGCTTGTTAGAGAAAAAAGAAAAGTTCAAAAGGTCTCTTAACCACAGCATGTGAGAAAAAAGATCACAGCCATAATGCAATCCTTGTGTCCAGATTCTCCACTACTGTATGTACCCATTTCTTATTGGGTGAATGTTTAATGACATTAACACAAAGAAACTGATGTTTCTTTAATTCACATACATGCATTGTAAATGTATCAGAAAGGCAAATGGCTGAATGAATATAACATTTCTAATGAATTTCTGGTTGCATAAACATTGAAGATTATATATATAAACGTTGACACATAGCAATGTTAATGCGGGACCTTTAATTTAGAGTTTGGAGGCAGATTCCAACACTAAGAGGTTGGTGTTTTGTAATGTCTGCTTCTGTAAGCAAAAACATAAAATTAAGCTTATCTTGACACACACTTACTACTATTGCTACTATAAAGATCAAGTAAAGTGAATCTAGTCGCAGTAAAAAGCAATTACGCCATTATTTTCCGTGCAAAACGCAGTTAAAAAGGTGACAAATAGCTAATGGGACGCTACGTGGTGTAGACACATACCAGTTTTATTAGCTTTGAGGAAGCAGCAATTACAAGCCAGACATCTCGTAGTTTGCATGCATCATAAAATATGCATACACTCAATTTCTCTTGTCTCTGGTTTTCAGTGTCTTCCATGATGTTTGAGGTATGCTTTAAATATCTGCATCTAAACAAAGTTTAATTGTTCCACTTCCACTCTTGGGGAAGCTGGTTAATTTGAAACAGATTCAAGCTCCACAAAAGAACTCATGTTGAACAGAAGTGCTGGTATTTAATACAAACCCCATGGTTCAACATGGCTTCAACGTGCACAAATGCTGTACTGTATCAATTCTTCAATATATAATTATAACGATGCTGGGGGAACAACTGTAACATTTTCCACACACATAACTGCTGGTGTTGTCCATCAATTTGTGAGCAATGCTGAACATATTTTGTAAACAAGTGTTGGAGAACAGTTGCGAGGCAACTAAGCACTTAACAGTCACACCAGTGGGCAATAGTCCATGCCAAAATAAAACCTAATTAGATTAAATGTGCAATTATATGCTATATTTTTGTGTTGAAAATAGCCCTGTTTCTTTCTTGTTAACGTTAACGTCTGTGTTATCTACTTATAATACGGTTATACAGGTGAGACTAATTATTTCAAAGGTCCAGTGTGTAACATTTAGGAGGATCTATTGGCAGAAATGGAATATAATATTCATACTTGTGTATAATCGCCTGAAAATAAATCTTTTGGTGTTTTTGTTACCTTATAATGATAATAATTTTATCTACAGAAGGAGTGGATCAATAATTTTAAACCACAATGTTTTAGTATCCATAATAACGTTTCAGCATATTGTAATAAGTGGTCAGAGGGAAAATTAGACTTCTGCACCTCCTCTTTGCTCTATTTTAGGCTTTATATAATCTATCCCTTGACGGGGGATTTTAGCCAATTACAGGTCAATAAGATAGTTGATAACTGAGCATCATTCATCAAATACCAAAGCTTTGGGCCGACCCAATCAGCTATCTTTCTCCAGTATCACTTTATGCACCTTTAATTCCTGCATAAATATCATATAAGGAGACTTTGTTTGTTTCTGACTGACATGAAATACTGTATGAGTATCTGTTAATGAGAGTTGTTACCCCCTTTAACTCACCCACACCAACAGACAGGACAATAAATTGTAGCAGCATGTGTCATATAAACCAGAGCCTTTCTTATCAGTAGGTTGAGGCAGGACAGTGACACATTTGGAATTGTGCGTAGGATGTTAAACGCTGTATCTCTTTTCCCATGATGCCCAAGTACTGTATCTAAGACCAATTTATTATAACCATATCATTACAACAATTTTCCTTCATGACAATTATTGATATAACTTTTTTTTTTGCAATATAATACCAAAGTGTAGGCAATCAAACAAGCTAACAATTTTGCTTTGTTGCTGTTGTATTTTTAATAAAATGGGACTTATTTAACGTTGAAGTATCTACAGAACAAAAAGTGTGCAGCTGTATTTCTGACCATTCTTGGTCACAAAGAAGGTCCATGTGTGTCAAGAGGGGAGTGAGGTCATTTGTTTCTTTAGACACCATGACAAAAGGACCACACACACCACTTCACTGAACACACTCATGCACACAAACCACTATTGTGGCTAGCTACGAAGTGGTTCTTACCCACCATATATCACTTTAACTCTAGCTATTGAATTTGGTGCTTCTACAAGAAAATGTGTTTCTGCTGAATCAGAAATGACAGTCAAGGATAAGAGAGTGTAATGTGGGTTTAGCAGTCTTTGGTGTGTTACACCCCCCTCTGTGTCTGTTTCATTTGCCTCTATCTTTGTCTCACACACACACACACACACTCACACACACACACACACACACACACACACACACACACACACACACACACAAAGACAGACAGACACGGGCATGGCTAATAAAAGAGGCTCTGCACCCGGATTAGTGTTAAGGCTCTGTGGCCCCAACCTTTTATAGTCATATTAGCCCAACACACGCAACATCACTCACAACCACAGAGGGCAGGAGGAAGAGAGTAATGAGGGATTGACTTGACACTGATTAAAAATTGCGTGGATGGAAAGGAAGGAGAAACAGAGAAAAACTGCTACTGGGTACTTTATTCTGTGTACATTTTGACTCATTTCAAGGGGTGTGTTCATGCTAAACCAATCTGGTTATGGACCAAATGCTCACCGCAAAATGTTTTTCTTTTTTCCCCCAATTAGCGTTCTCTTCCTGCCCCCTACACCCACAACAGCTACCTCTCTCTCCACATACACACAAAAACACTCACAAAAGAGCCCATACAACCGGATAAAACAGACAGGGAATTTCTTTTTTTTAATTTGTGTTCTAAGTATTTAATCTGTCTAAAGAAATTGTTTGTACTGGTAGGAAATCTGTTTCAAAAGCAAACATTTGTTTTCAATCACTGTGATTAAAAAGATTTCAGCGCTCAAAGTAGTTTCAATTTTCATATCAAAGAGAGTGCAGCAAATCATTGGGAAAATCAGAAACAGAAATCTAAATGATCTGTCGATGCAACAAGCCAAGCACTTCAACTTTCCCAGGGTATTTGATTTACAGCTCTGTAGCTTTGGCCATGACAGAAAACAGCAGCTTTAACACTACACACATTTCCACTCGAGACGGTAATACACAGAAGACACACATATACTTTATATGTCTGAACGTTCATGCTGTTTTATCAAGCACACTCCCTGACAGCGTCTGAGCCCAGCTCCAAATGTGCAGGGACTGTCCGTTAACATTTTACCATGACTTATATTAATAATCCTCTCAGAATCTACCCTTTGATGAACCACCAAAATTCCAACAGTGAGACAACTAAAACAGATGAGAAAAATTCAGGAATTGTGAAACCTCCCTTCACCTCAGTCCCACAAGACTTGTTGATCTCTGCCTGCTGTTAAGCTCCAAATGAAGTTTTTCTACATCCAAAATGGATAAATGCCTACTTGTTATCTAAAAGTGTTGTTGCTCGCCTCATTGTCACTGAAGGAAGTCACTTTTGCCCAAATTAACTCAAACAACTAAGCTGTTTGTATCTGTTTTATGGTGTGACAACCTGTGTCCACAGGGGCCGCCATCAAAACAAAATGAAAGTTCCTTAGGGATTCCCTAGGGATCTTAACTAAATGTCACAATTTTTAAAAGCTGGTATCTCTTTTTACAACATTGCATGGTATTCTGTATTATTAACAACTACTTTTTTGCCTTATTATATATTCATGGGAAAGTTAAAGGTTCAATACTCGTTTCAACACTTATTCAAAAAAACAAAAAAACACATGCAGTGTGTTAAAGACTTTACAGATGAACATGCCATTATGCTTCCAGTAACTTCAGTTTTCAACACATATGCTGTCTGATTTAAGTGCTTTAAAAAAAAAAAATGGTTCCAACACACAGCAATAAAGGCCTGCTGGAGTGCTGAAACATTGTCTGGTTTGAACATACACTGACCAGTTTGAGTGCTTTGAACAATGCCTGCTTTCAGCTCAAGGAGTGACAGAGATGACAGGCAGATGGTTAACATCACGCTATGATTGAAACACTGAGAGCAGGAGACATAAATACCTAGATTGTTCCTTTAACCCAAACATCCAGAGAAGCTGCTTCCATATGCCAACTTTCAGAAATATTTATGTCACTTACAGATCTTGCTGCTTAACGTGGGTTATCTTTTAGTGTGATGCTATATGACAGCAAATGTTTCTGTATTGTATATTTGAATCTGATGTGGGAATAGAAAGTTATAAGTAGGAAAAATGGAACCCTTGCATAATATTCTTCTATCAATATCTTTTTTTAATTAAAAACATTTCTGTTTATTGGCCAGCTCTAAGTTTATAACCAGGATTTTAAAATTTAATTAAAATTAAACATGTGCACGAAAACAGCACGACAGCTACGGTGCTCTGATCTCTTAGCAACAAAATAAATAGCAAAATAACAACAAAAAAGTTAGATGAAGAACCACAGACAGAGTTTGTGAGTGAGATTTATGAAGGAGGTACAGAGACGGAAAAAGTCAGCAGAGAGAGTAGGAAGATTAAGAAAGTGCAGAAGACAGAAGCAGGGGCAGACATCCCAT